TATCCTCGTTCCTCCAGTGACCCCGCTTACGTCACGGGGTCTCCCTTAAATACCCTAGGAGGGGTGACGTCACGTGCACTGCCCAGCGCGTGCGACCCCACGTCCCGTGATGTCACCCCACCGACAGCGCACACGACGCCACCACTCCCCTCTACTCCTCTACACAGGTGTCAAGGAATGACTGACTGAGATGATTACAGATGTGTAATGAGAGCGCCATCTCCTGTATTACGTGGGGTGATATACAGTTATGGGTTGCCTAGGGGAAGGAGTACATCTTGGCCAAAGGTAAAAGGGAGGAGCCACCCAGGAAGCCTCTGGAACGCTCCCGAAGGTTCTATGAGGGGCTTGGCCAAAGGCGGGGTTTAGTCGCCGGCGAGCATATATAAGCAGGAGCTAGAGCAAGGTGCGAGGGGAGTGCCAGAAGATCAAGAGGAGCTCCCCGTCACTGCTGCCCCGCCATCTCCATCGGCCACGTGGTGGCTCGACCTTCAACCGCTTCCTAGCGCGCCGTCAGCAAGCGGCGTGCTAGAGAGTGGGTGAGCGCTACGTGGCGCGGGGCAGCGAAGCCACTTGGGCGGCGTGTATCCGTAGTGCGAGTGTGTGAAGAGACAGGAGACAACCAACTGTACCTAATATTTTTTAAAGAAACGTTTAAACTTTTTATCATGTCGGAGCCACTCATTACAGATGCACCAGCTGTACTCCCTGCTGTCTTGCTGCGTTTTAGGCACCCAGCGTTCCACCCATGCATGTGAGTATCGCTCCTCTGACCTCATTGTTGTTGCAGAGCAAATACCTGCAACTGCCTGGCAGCTGGGGGGAGAGAGAGGTGGGGGCTAGACGACGGTGTACCGTAGTTCGGCTATTATCTGCGCAGTGCGCAATCTACCAGTGCTAAAACTGTACTTACTTATCTACCAGTTATGTTACTTATTTATTGGATATTTACTTTTGTTACTTATTTACTGTTTTAAGTTCACTCGTTTCCGGTTAGTTTGTTTTCTTTGTGTATATATATGATGGAATTAAGCTGCGGTAATGACGTTAAATATATGAATGCATGCGGGGTATATGGCGTTGTGGGCTATCTGAATTTTTTTTTACACAAAATGCTATTTTTGCGGGGTATATGCGTATGCAGGCTATATGCGGGAAAATAAGGTAAATAGCGTGACATGAGCAATGGAAACAATGGAAATGCATAGAAAAACAAGCTAAAATAGGTGTAAATTAAAGAGCAGCAGTACGCACAGGTAAGTTGAGAAGCAGGCTATAGTCTAGATTATAGACTGCCAGTACGCCGAATCAATGACATAAGCATTGCTACAGTCAAAATTAAAAACTGGCACTACGGGCAGCAGCTGAAAAAGCAGGATAGAGTCGACATGAAAGGCTGGCAGTACACTGAGTGAGGTAAAGAAGCAGGCACCATATTATAGACTGGCATACACTCATAATGGCCAAAAGGCAAATTAGCAGTGTAGATAATAGAGTGTGAGTGCACTGACGTTAATTAATGAGCAGGCAGCAGGCCACAGCAGACTGACAGTACACAGTCGCAGCGTAAAAAATGACAGCAAAAAAAGGTAATTTTAGCAATCTAATAATGAGAAATAAGCTTTCTGCACGCAAACATTATTATTGTAATATCTGCCAATGTATTTGTTTAATAATAGTAAACAATAATACTACAATAATGCTATCAAAGCTCTGTAATAATATTAATATCTACGGACTTCATAGTAGTAACTGCACGCATCGTGTTGGGGGGGGGCGAAAAGGACATCACACTGTGAAGAAATAGCCCCAGCGTTATGTGTATATTTATTGCATGTAAAATGCGTAAAATAAAATGTTCCCCATGAGCTCGACCGAACGTGCATCACTTGGCAGGATCAGCCCCCCCCACGCAATTGGCGTGAGTTGGCACGGCCGATGTCGCGCAATAAAGAATAAATATAGCAAAATCCCACTAAATCCCAAATTTAACTAATTTAAAGGTGACGGACGTGAAAAAGGAATAGCCTATTCCCACTGCGGGACTTAGGACGTGCCGGCTGGCAAAAAAATGTCTATGTATAGCCCACCGTTCGAGAGCCAAATCCCTCGCAAGCGTGCGCGGAGACTTTTATATATAAAAAAAATAGGCCTTAATTAAATCAAGAATGCAGTGATCTAGTTTCTACTGAAAATCCATACTCCTCTGCTGTAGTCGATGGACAGAAAATACAGCAGCCCCTTGCATATCACGGAGATTACATTCTTCGAAAGTGCCGCGAGAAATTCTAAAAGCGAGTTCTTCAATACTTAAGCCTTACCTAATAAATGGCGTTAGGTAAACGTCAACTAAAATTTACAACATCCCAATTGAAATAAGTCCTGTACTGTATTCCAAATAAACTAAACAATTGAAATAAACACGGAGAAACCATATACAAAAATATTGCAAGACGAAACATTGTATAAATCTATATAAAGCAGACTTTGCGTTTGTGTAGATATTTTTGTTAACCAAATTGTGCCAACACACCCCAATCTTTCCATGCATACTCACGGGTGAGTTAGTGTGTTTTTCGCACTATTTTACACGCTTTTTATTAACTCACTGTCTGTTGTTGTTGTATCCTCAAATCTTCTAACTCAATTTTAACCCACTTACCAATGTGGTATCGACTGCAAACTTGGTATACTTATGTCATACTGATGACAATACAATATTCTATCATAAAAAATTCATGAAACATATATTTTAAAACATTTCTTTTTAAATGTTATGTTTCGGCTTGGGTCTAATTGTCCACGCTCAACTAGCGTTGGCTGTAAATCACCATGGTCCCTTACATTATGGCAAGCTTCGGGGCCACTTCCTGGAGTCGTGGAGTTCTTCCATTGCTAGTACAGTATATTTAATTAAAGCGTGTTTATTTTTTTTCTATATTATTTAGATTACCTGCTCAACTTCAACACCTGAAACACCTGCACACTCCAACCCCCCGCCGCTGCGTCCAACTCCCCCCTGCACTCCTCACCACTCCCCCTCTCTTTCTATTCACATGGTATAAAGCTCAGGGCATTCTCACTACTTCTGGTTTGCCATACATGGCTCACCTCTAACACACACTGCAATATTTAACAAAACAATTATTATTCTAAAATATCTATCAATACTACCGACCTCCTTCTACACAAAAAATAGATGCTATACAACAGCTATGACTAAATGCATCAAGTCGACATTGCCTGCTAAGGAATAACAAGCATGCAAAAACACACTCACTTTAAACTCATTATGTGTGCACACACCACCACACACATGCTATTCATACCCACTTCAAGCACTGCAAACAATTACTCCTTCCAACAACTTACAGGTCTTCACATTCATACAACGATTACAAATTCGAATATCATTTCATTAACAATCTCGATATAGTATTCAGTCACACTCACTATTTACTATTTTTTTTGCTCATTAACTTTTACCTCCACTTATAATTTTCCTTGCGGAAAACGTGCGCTTCTCTTCATCAAAAGCGATTACTAAAATTTACGTGATTCGTACAAGTGCTGCAATGGCTGCACCTGGAGCTAATAATACTCTTAAACACCAAGAAGTAAGACGGCATGCTGCCAGTGCTGCGATGGCTGTACCTACTCATTCCAACATCTGGATACATGCCTACATTTAATGTGCAGGGCCAGGTACATAATCGCATTGGCAGTCTGCTGCCACTACCTAACGACCTACCTACATTACCACAGATCTACTTGCATGTTTGACAATACTAGACAGTGACTTTACCGAAAGAACCAAGAATATGAATCCCTTCAGTCACGAAAGCTTTAAATAAAAAAAATACTAGACAGGCTCACCTGCATTGCAATGATGTCATTAAAACCAAGATGCAAGTCTTATTGCTGTTGCAAGTCACGCTCCATAAGCAAAACTCTCATGTTCACAGTTTCAAGCGTACGATAGAGAAGAGTGCTTCATAGTACAATGTCATTAATGCAGACTAAACTCCACATGGTCAACATGCGTGCCGCTTAAAAACATTCACAACATCTGAAGTCGCTGTCATTCTGACTGCTGAGCAACATGGCACTCGATGAATCGTCTTGGAACTGAGACACAATACCCGACACAAAATTGAAACACACGGACGAAATGATGCTCTTCAATGTCCACGGATTTTCTAGCAAGGTGATGATGGCTACAATTTCGTACTTTGCCAAACTGACCCAGCAACAGGCTTGTCGGCACAAAAGATTTCCGCCATGGACTTCTTTGCTTTCCAGATCATGGTGCGGAACAGCAGCTTCAATCTCTTCTTGAGATGCAAAGAGCTATTCCACCAATTGTCTGTCGACATGTATGCCAACATTTAAGCTTCATTATTAAACCCACCAGATGGCAAAACATCCAAAATTGTTTATCCTGAAGCTCTCCGAGGGTAACGAATTGAAAAGCTGTGCTAATTATGAAAAAAACAAGCCCTGCGATTGTATAACACAACCAAAAAAGTGACAATTACACACATTTACAAACTTCATTGGCAGAATTAAATGTTCTAATAAAGCCAGCATGGCAAGACATTACACTTAATGTTTGATTACTGAGACCTGTGCAAAGCCGGGTAACTTAGCAAGTACTGAATACATACTATACTTCCGATGTTGTTTGTGCATTAGTGGGGAGCGGTAGTGCAACGGTTAACGTGCTGCGCTATAAACATAGTGAGCCTTATAATATTCCCACAGAACCAAGCCACAACATTTGGCTGTCGCCTGATGAAGCTGGTTGTAATTACTGGCTTAACGTCGTACTCAGATTGTAAATGTTGTGGCTTGGCTCTCCAACACACACCCAACCAGTATGCTGTACTAATGACGAATTGGCCACGTTCTGTTTACATGACAAACCCTTCGCAATTGGCAGTGTCGGGTGGTGGCCGGTTTAACGACACATTTATATATTTACGCGATCTAACACTAACCTGTATTACTGCTGTATATTTGTAGTTTGCGTGTCTCTCTCCCCGTGGTCGCGTGGATTTTCTTCTGGGTCCTCCGGTTTTTCCCTGCACATTTAGAGTCAACATCACCACGCGTTTAGAGTATTTGACCGATACACATTTCCACACGTTGAGATAAGCCACTTTGTTGTGGGCAGGTCGCTTCTGAATAAGAGCGGTACAGCTCAAGTGGGCTATGCCTGGTGAAATAAAAAAAACTGTATAAATATTTAAAATAAACACATTTTCAAAGTAGTGAGCCAGGTGAAGACAAATTAAACTTAAGCAGAGAATGAAAGCAAATACAATCAGGCGAGGGCAGGAGGCAAGGCTCCGTATGGCTAGGCCCCGCGTTGTCATGCTCCAACCTGGACATCGATTCCATACTTGCTGCTACTCAATTGATATCCCTACGAGAGAGACGGAGCGAGGCTCTACCTGGGTAAACAACAACAACCACCACAACAACCACGATGTGAACTTCTCACCTCGGATCTCAATGAGCGCGCGAGCGGAGCGGCAGCTTCCTGGTATCTCGTGACGTCACGCGGCAGCAGGCGGTGACATGACGTCACTTGCAAGGTTCAACACAAAAGCCCCTCAAACTTGCGGCGGTCACTAAATAAAGTATGTTAATGAGCCGGGTCCATGTCGGATGATTGGGCTTGGCTGCTAAACCCGTCGCAATTAGCGATGGTATTTATGAATATTTTATGTTAATAAACCGCCAGTGACTGGGCGTAGCTTTGCCCAAATAAAGATTCTACTGGAACTAAAATCGGCTTTGACCAACCTGACGTGATGTCACGCTCAAAAGAGCGAAGAAGGGGGGGAAGTGAATACCTTGGTGACATGACGTCATTAGCGGGGTATACCTCCCGCTCGCGTATCACGCCGAGTTAATGAGTGGTGACGTCAGAAAGCGAGAGAGAGGTCAGGGTGAGAGTTGAAGTCTATTTAGATTCCATTTCTTTTGCTCCCTCTCTTGAACAGAGGACCTCTTGGCTGCGTGAGATCAACAACAACGTGTAGATCATTGTGTGTGTGTGTACACACTGTGTGTTGCCACAGTAGGGGGCACAGGTGGTGCATCGGCCAGTCATATCTTGTCAGTCGATTCTAGATTTGAAGCTTTCGTGACTGCAAGGATTCATACTCTTAGTTCTTTCGGTAAAGTCACGTAGGTAAAAAATGAAATTAAAATTAATAAAAATAAAACAATAAAAATCACGACGTTTCGGAGGCAACACAAGCTTCCGTCTTCAGGTGAAACCGTCACAGCAAATTATCTGTACCTTATATAGTGGTTAAGGGGAGAGGAACCAGGAAGGGCAGCGGGGGAGGAGGAGTTGTGAAGTGGTCAATTACTGCTTTTCAGTCGACCCATGGCACCTGCTTCGTCTGCCACGTGAATTACTGCCGGCGAGCGTTCGACACTTCACGTGGCCTTAACGTGCACATAGCCTGTCACTTGGGGGTGCTCTTCGAGTGTTTGTGATGACATATGATACAAAACTCCAAGTTGTTGTGGCGATTAAGCAAGCACCATATAAATGCAATTATTATTATAACAAAGTGAATGCTTGGGAGCTTAATGGCTCTCGTTCCTGGTTAGAGATCTACCAAACCTACAGGTCCACAAATACTGACCACTCTTACTCTGCAGGTTGAACCTAGGAATTGAGTTTCGATTTAAAGCTTTCGTGACTGCAGGGATTCATCTTCTTGGTTCTTTCGGTAAAGTCACGTAGAAGGGAAGTAATAAAATAATAAAAATAAAACATAATAAAACAATTCTCACGACGTTTCGGCCACAACGCAAGCAGCCGTCCTCAGGTGAAAACCAGGTCCGTCGAGGCGACAGAGTCTGAATGAAACAGCACACGAGCTTGGAGCATATATATAAGCTGGGCGCATTGACAAAGGAATTTGCATATCAAAAGGAATTTAGCATATTTATGGGAAATGCAGGAATGTGATTAGTACTGCATATGCATGTGCATTATGCAGGATTAACAGCATCACAGGGAGCTGCAGTTACTGCTGCTGCAGCAGTTGCTGCTGCTGCTGCAGTTTCTGCTGCTGCTGCAGTTTCTGCTGCTGCTGCAGTTTCTGCTGCTGCTGCAGTTGCTGCTGCTGCTGCACTTGCTGCTGCTGCTGCACTTGCTGCTGCTGCTGCACTTGCTGCTGCTGCTGCACTTGCTGCTGCTGCTGCAGTTGCTGCCTTATCCATTTTAATATAACACTATGTATTATTCTACCCACCCTAATGTGTATCATACTGCTATATGTTTACTGTACAATTACGACACCATACACCATACATTACTCTGCACACTGCACCATGCCAGTGAGTGGAACGCGGTCTGAAAGTCACCGTGACTTTCAGACCGCGTTCCACTCACTGGCATGGTGCAGTGTGCAGAGTAATGTATGGTGTCGTAATTGTACAGTAAACATATAGCAGTATGATACACATTAGGGTGGGTAGAATAATACATAGTGTTATATTAAAATGGATAAGGCAGCAACTGCAGCAGCAGCAGCAAGTGCAGCAGCAGCAGCAAGTGCAGCAGCAGCAGCAAGTGCAGCAGCAGCAGCAAGTGCAGCAGCAGCAGCAAGTGCAGCAGCAGCAGCAAGTGCAGCAGCAGCAGCAACTGCAGCAGCAGCAGAAACTGCAGCAGCAGCAGAAACTGCAGCAGCAGCAGCAACTGCAGCTCCCTGTGATGCTGTTAATCCTGCATAATGCACATGCATATGCAGTACTAATCACATTCCTGCATTTCCCATAAATATGCTAAATTCATTTTGATATGCAAATTCCTTTGTCAATGCGCCCAGCTTATATATATGCTCCAAGCTCGTGTGCTGTTTCATTCAGACTCTGTCGCCTCGACGGACCTGGTTTTCACCTGAGGACGGCTGCTTGCGTTGTGGCCGAAACGTCGTGAGAATTGTTTTATTATGTTTTATTTTTATTATTTTATTACTTCCCTTCTACGTGACTTTACCGAAAGAACCAAGAAGATAGGAATTGAGTGTTCAACTTCACATTATTTCATTAAAGGCATGTGACAAAGGTGAATTAATCTATTGGAGCTGCATTGTCTCAAGCTTACACATCTACCGGGTCTCCATTTAACTTTGTATCATCTAAGAAGTCCACCCACACCTCCACTTCCATAAACTGCTGGGAGTTGCCTCGCTCTACATCTCCTCCTGCTTTACGTTGCCTCCATCAATGTTAAGGTCCAATTTTGGAGTTGAATCTTCATCTTCACATTTTACCTTCACTTCTTCGCTCTTCACTGTCACTTCTTCACATTTCACCTTCGCCTCTTCATATTTCACCTTGATACCTTTCAAGTGTCCAAGCTAGGATTTTCTTCTGGCTCTTGTTTCATGAGGGATGGGCTCATTGCAGCACTTTGGCTTTCACAAGTCGATGTCAGACTACACTCCTTGGGGATCTTCTGATGACTGTGCGTTCTCTGGTATCTTTGAAGATTTGATGACCGTACAAATGCCTTCCCACACAGAGTGCACCTGAAGGGTTTCTCTCCTGTGTGTGTTCTCTGGTTTTTCTGAAGACCTGATGACTATGCAAACGCCTTCCCACACACAGTACACTTGAAGGGCTTTTCACCAGTGTGTGTTATCCGGTGCTTTGTCAAGTTTCCAGTACGGTCTGTTCTGTTTGCATACTGGTCACATTGTTGCCTTTTTGTACAGAGCTGCGCTGAGTGCCTTTGCTCCATCAGAACAATTATGTAGAGGAAGCGTCAGAGGAAGCGTCAGCTGCAGAGAGAAAAAAATATCCACACCATCTATGTCAGTATCGAGAGACATAGGAATTAATATATACATAGTCACACATGACTTACACGGCTATACTTATTCATACCTTCATGATATAGTGAAAAAAAAATCCCCAATTCATCACACGGGCTGTTAAGGCACACAATTGTAGTGACATAGAATTGGTCACTATGTGGCATAGCGCTGGCTGCTGGCAGGGAAAGGGATCTGCAGATTGAAGCAGCCCTGATTGAGAGCAGACCACGTGACAGACCAGAGAGGGATCTAGGGTAACGGTTACGGAGGGGACATGTCGAGATCCCGCTCGTAGGTTCCAGAAGGGGGGCTTGGCCAGGACGGAGTGAGGCCACGCTAACAGGATAAAAGGGGACCCCGAGCAAAGGCTCGGGGCCGTCGTTGGAGTGAGATCCCCTTGTCGTCGCTGCTGTTGCCTTCGCCACTATCGTCTCGTGCCTTCGTCGGTGACGTCGCCCACTTGATAATTGCACTGCTAGCAGTAGTTGGCTGTCTTAGCTCAGCGTCGTCAGTGTCAGATGGCTAGCGTTGTGTTGTAGGCTAGCAACCAGAGTAGAGTTGTGTTTAAGCGAGAGACAGAGCGTTGTGTAACAGCGTAGGGTGTGTATTGTATATATTAACAAAGTGTGCTCGGGGTTAAATTGAAGAATTGCCTCCAAGAGTTACGTCTCCAAGTCAGTCACTACACAATGACAGGACAGATGGTCTTCTTGGTTCTTTCGGTAAAGTCACGTAGAAGGGAAGTAATAAAATAATAAAAATAAAACATAATAAAATAATTCTCACGACGTTTCGGCCACAACGCAAGCAGCCGTCCTCAGGTGAAAACCAGGTCTGCCGAGGCGACAGCGTCTGAATCAGACAGATCCGGTTTTCACCTGAGGACGGCTGCTTGCGTTGTGGCCAAAACTTCGTGAGAATTATTTTATTATGTTTTATTTTTATTATTTTATAACTTCCCTTCTACGTGACTTTACCGAAAGAACCAAGAAGATGAATCCCTGCAGTCACGAAAGCTTTAAATCGATAAAAGGACAGATGGTCATAAATATGCCTGGACGCCCTAGAATGGAATGCTCGGATGAACAGATCTTACCTCAGCTGCATATGTGCCGTGTTCATTTCCTGACTTTCCATTCTTATCAAAAGTTCCAGAGGAAAACCGAAATAAACGATTGTTTTGATTTAACCTCCTTGTTCAAAAGAGTTTATATACTTTGCATAAAATACAGTACCAACTTGACACTGTCACACACTTGACTTAAAGCTTTCATGACTGCAGGAATTCTTATTCTTGGGTCTTACGGTAAAGTCACGGAGATAGGTTCAAAGAAAATAACAAAAAACTACGACGTTTCGATCGCAACACAAGCAATCGTTATCAGGAGAAAAAAAATGGGAAAACTCCTGAGGCAGGCTGTTTTTAAAGGTTTTAAATGGGTGTAGCCTAAGGGTCATAAACGAAGTGGGCGGGGCTAGTGATGTTAAAGTGAGAAATTTGCATGTAAATGTGTAATTAACGACTTCCACGACGACTCTGGACTGGCGTCTTTTATTTAACAGAATGTCTGCACAGCTCCGCGCTCTGTGTCTATATATATGGATGGCTTCATAAATTGATCTTTGTTGATAGCCAGTGGGCTTGCAAAGTACCTTCGTCTTGATTTATCTAAGACCTTCGTCTTATAAAAATAAATGTTGGTTCTTGCCAAAG